AGGATAATAGCAGCTACCCTGCTCAACTAGGTCTCATGGCTACATCTAGATATGTGCAGGTAACTGAGTCAGCAGGCAGACCTTCAGAGGATGCAGCTTTCCTTTAGAAGGGGCTTGGAAAATGGAGGCAGCAAGGAGAGTTTTGAGTGGGGAAGAAGTTCAAGTGTGAGAAGAGCAAGTGCCTGGTGTGAGCCCTTAAGAAGCCTAATGTAGGAGGGCTGCTATTTTACCGGGAACTGGGTGATGTGTCTAGAAAGGACTAGAAATACAGGCCTAGAGCTGGCCAATGACTGCGTTGAGTTTGATTTGATATTTTCTTGAGGGTAATTGATGTTAATGTACTCCTTGGTGGAGAACTAAGGTCATCTAGATGATGGAGGTAGCTAATCTGCTGCATGAGTGCCACAAATAGCAAGGGAAACCTGTGTGTGGCACGTGGCAGATCAGGGAGGGAGCAGGGAATACAGTGACATATTGGGCAGACTGTGGAAAGCAGAGGGACTGGGCAGGAGAAAGGGAATGGACTGGCACTTGGAGATGGTGTAAGGTTTTGTCTGTGGCACAGCTACCAAAAAAGCTGGCCCCCATTAACATGGACAAGCTATAGCTGAAATCTGGCCCTAGTTATTTTCAAGATCAAACTCAGTGGGCAAGTTACCCATAGCTTTCAGGGCCCCTACCTGACCTGGCCCTCTGAATTGTTTTCACAATCCCGTGGAATTTTACTTATGTGGCTAAATAAAAAGCTTGCACAGCTAAACCTTGTGGCCTACTATGACAACGTAGGCATCTGAGAGTCTGAAACAGTTAAAATATTGTTTTTGGCCACTTACCTCCACTCTGTATTTACTTAAAATTGGCCGGATGTTGGCTGGAACTGCATAAATCTGGTTAACATCAGGTGGATCTAATGCGGGAAGGCTCTGGGGACCAGAATCAGGAACCTAAGAATGAAACGGTTGATAGTTCTTACTGGTCTGTGCAGAAATAAAGATCTGCTCAGAGCTTCCTGTGACTTGTGCATAGAATAGAGCACTTCACAACGACTAGAATTGTCATGTAAATGCAACAATGAGAAAATGCTTTGCATCACGAGAAAGACAGGGCAAAGATTTCAAGGGGAGAAATCATTTTATGTTCAACAGCATGTATTCAGGCAGCTCTCCAGAAAGTGTCTCCCTTGACTTGATAGACCATAATCAGCTGTAAGGAACACATTACATGCCCTGAGTAATTATACTTAATAATATACTAACTAAAAGGCTGTCAAAAGATGATACTCTTTTAACTATGGTTCTTATTGAAAAAAAAACTAAGAAGGGGTGAATGGAATCATATACTGGCCACTATTTCAGAAGAACAGTCTAGAAAAAAATCCAGCAGACAACATTATTTAACCATCTTTTAAGGTGATCATGGCTCTGTTAACTCTACCTGGAAGTCACACAAAGTCTGGCATAACAGGGGTGACTTGTCAAAGTAGAAATGCCGTGTTTGGGAACAACCAAGCCTTGGAAATGTCAAGGCTGAGTCCTCCCTCTATACAGCATCCCACCAAGACTCTGGATGCAGGCAGCCCTTGTGTTTCTTGTAAGTGAGCTCACATGTTTGTATTCACGTTTGGGATGGGCAAAGAGGCTGATATTCATATTTACCTCATATACCTATTTTGGATTGTGTGTGTATGTGTGGGTGGGGGGGTAGGTGGAAGGGATGTCATAATATTTGTATATTATCATTGACTTGAAGAATTCACTTAGTTGAATGACATTTACCTGTCACCATGCTCTGGGTCTCCCATTTCCCTGCATTTTTATTCCTCAACCCACAGTAAGTTTTCAAGAGTTGTTTGGTTCCCTTCCTTCCTCCCAAGTGTCTATAAGGCAGACCTACATGCTGCCTGGTTTAGCAGAACTTTGCTTTTACTTGGTTAGGCTATGCCAAAAGAGCACTGATCTCTTTAAGAAGGATCTCTTCTCTACTAAAACAGACTATGAATTTCTAGTTTACAGATTACCTTGTGTCTTGCTTAGCAACTGTGCTCAGCTTCATTACAATACATGAAGAGGTGGATATGGGAGAGGATAAGATGTGAAGTGTTTTCAGGTTAACTAAGGGACTGGGCAAATAGATCAAACAGATGGGCTGTATTGTGATACACACTCTCTACAAACAAAAGGACATAGATGGTAAGAAGCAGCAATGCCTTGTCAAAGACACTTCATAATTGCAAAGATAAATTATTGCTACTGAAAAGTTAAGACTATCAGCTGCCATCACCAGGGGACCTGTGAATTGGTTCTTTTAAATAGGTGTCATCTGTCTTTTTTAGGTACTGATATGTGCTGCTGTGTAGGAGGCTCAATTAACATAAGGAAGAAGAGATATTTTCCTGAGTACCTTGTAGGTGCAGAGAACAGAAGGGTGTAAAATATATCTCCTAGTCATTGCTCTGCTGTAAGAAGTGATGGCAATAATAAAACTAACAGTAATAATTCACGTTTATATACACTATAAACGTGAATTACCTTTTGCCTTTTACCTATATGAATCCCAAAGCACCTTGTTTATTAGATTTCATGGAGTTTAAGGTTAGAAACAGGCATTAGATCAGCTAGTGTGAGCTTCTCTATATAACAGGCAACAGAATTATACCTGTGTACCTCAACTAAACTCAGTTAGTTAGATTTCAGCATTTCAGTCCTCAGAGCCATACGCTGTTGCATGCCGTAGAACAGGAGAAACTGGAGCATCACCCATGCCTGAGGTCCCCGCGTCACAAGTGTACTCAATAGATAAGATATACCCCGATGCTCTGAGCAGGCCTGCATACCCCATGGTGCAGAGGAAAACAAATCAGCTCCCTGTGGCCTTCACATCCCTGCCACTCTGATACCCCACCCTGTAGGTGTCAACCAGTCTGATCCTGCAAAAGTGAGCAGGATCTGCCAGCCGGGAATCTAAGATTTCTTGGATCGCCTCAGAGCTCTGCCCAACCCATTTGATGGTCTGTCTCCAGATGTAGCCAATCTCTGAAAAAAAAAAGGTGGGGGAGGGGGAATGGAAAAGAACACATCTGGCCAGTGAAACGTGTGAGGGGGTGGGGAATTTATTCCTGACTTCTGCAGGCAACACAGCTGCTGTTTAGCAGCAGACCATAGGCCAAATCTTCTGTCTGCCACACTATGAAACCCTAAATAGAACTGCGTTTATATAACTTGAGTGGTTTTACTTCAGTGCCACACTACAACTATGTGAAGAAGTAAAGATTTGCACCCTCCTGGCTGGATCCAGATGTGCAGACATGTTCAGTTTGTGGTGCTGCAAACCTCTTTGCGGTGCCAGAAACTGCACGTGTTGCGTGTTTGACTGTGCTGGGGCAAAATTTGCTACTAGGATTTCCTACTCCCTTGTCTTGAGACACACTGTGCCCCAGCCAGCTGGGGAGCTGTCTACTCCCCCGTCTCCACGTGTCTATTGGGGCACAGGGTTGGGGCAGTGCCTCAGCATGGAGGCTGTATGCTGGCTAGCCCCCTACGCTGAGGCACCCTGTGCCCCAGCCAGCCCCCATCCTGAAGCACATGGAGCAGCAGGACAACGTGTCCCTCTGTAAACCACTCGAACAGGGGCATTCACTGCAGCACAAAGTAGTGGCACAAATTTGTGCCACTACTATTTGTGCTGCTGCAAGTGCACGCCTCTGCTCGTGCGGACGTGGCCGTTAAGTTTATATTGCATAGAGAGCGCTAGGGGGTTAAGACACTGGCCGAGAAAGAGGAAGCTATTCTTTCACATGATTTCAAACATAAAAGTAAAGACATTTTGGTTAAAAAAACTGGACACATCTTTCTTTACAGAGCTTGTTTTGTGGTCACAATCCTAATTTCAAGCGAGGCCCATTCTGAGTCACAGGGGACTGTGAAATTGTGAGGTCAAAATTCTAAATTACCAATGTCACAGGTTTGGGATGTGAAAATAGTCCGTTAATCCAAGTGAATTATGTACGAAGTGAAATAACTAAAAATAAAATGGCAACAGTTTTAATGCAAGGGGGGAGGAGGCAGGATTTCTATACAAATCGAGTAATTACACAGATGGGAACTGTTCCAAGATGTCTGGTCCAAAAACATCTCTAGTTCTTGAGAAAAGCACCTTGTGATCTTGAATGACTGCAAATGATCAAGACTGCAAGTGCTCATTAGTCATTCTCTTAATCTCCTGTTGCTTGAAGTCTCTTAAACGCTATTAAAATATTCAAATTTATTTTAACCCTTTTGTGGGGATAACAATCTTAATTTTGACAAAGGAGTGTTTCTCCCTAGATACTGCTACTCTAATGCAAAATGTCACCAAAGGGGTGACTGGTTGCCTCTGAAGCACAGAGTGAAATTGTGATTCTGGATTTATCATTTCCATTTTTCTGCTGAGTATTGTCAAGAACCCTTTGACAACAGGTGAGGCTGCCAGCATGACAGGCCTCTGAGACTGAAACCTTTCAAATGTTTTAAAGTCTCTTGGCTTGAAACTGTTCTTTACTGTCCACATAGTTGAAAAATCTGACGTGAGACTCTTCAGGCTCCAAACTGGTGAGATTAACCGTAAACACCGTGAGGATGGCAACTGCTGGGTCATTTTTATATTTACTTCCCAGCTTTTAAATCGGGCTTTCAAGAGATGTTCAGATAAGTGCAGCCAAAGGTGCTGTTTTCTTTGGCCAAGTGAAACAAAATTGAATGTTTGCTCACTAGAAATGTGGATGAAATGTAAATTGAGGGGAAAAAAATACTATTCTCCTATCCTCTGTCCTCAATTAAATCCCCCAAAGATGATGAGCTCCCTTCAGAAGCATCAAACAGACATCACTAAAAACAAAATTTAGCTCCACATGCTTCAAAGTGCAGTTTCACCCTGGAAAGTGACTGTCAAAATGGCCTCATGGTTTCAGGTTTTGCATCTTTCATTGATCCCAGAATACTCTGTTTATTAGTTAAATGATTTTTCTCCTAATTAGTAGCCCTGCAAACTCCCTGTAGGAACTGAAAGACACAATATTGTAGCTTGTTGGCATCTCAGCAAGGTACCTTCCTTACCAGAATAAGGGCAGAATTTACCCTGCATTTGAAAACTAATTAACACTTGTTCAAATCCACTGCAGCCAAACCAAAATCCAGCTCATTCACTCTCAACTGCCTTAGCTCCATATTGCTAACAGGCAGAAAAGCTGGCACGGGGGACTTTGCTAAAGCTGGCATGGGGGACTATGGACAAACACAAAAAGCTGCTCTGGGCAGCAAGAACATGCAGGGCCATTTCCCAGAACTGAAGCCCACTTTCAATTGAAGTCAACAACTGCAGCATGAAAGAGAGGGGAGTGAGGCCCAGACGATCACCAGGACTCGCAGCTGTGGGAACAAGGGCAGGAAGTCTAGCTCTGACTTCAAGACACAGAGGTGTGACAGATACACTGGGCTCTAGGTATATAAGGTGTAAAAGGAGCTTAAAAAGGGGGTACCTGCTTAAGTGAGGGTGGGACTGGAGCCAAGGTATATCTCTATCCTAGATAAGGCCAAATCTTAATGGTCAAACGATTCTAGCTCACCTGTAGTAGCTCAAAGGTAGCAAGAAGATCCCCTCCAGAGAGATTTCCACAATACAATGGGTGATAAGTCAGTTTAGGTGGCTCATACTGCTGGTCAGCGAGTCTTACCACTGGAGAAGCCACTGTAGAGCCAATGTATTCAGATTTACCCTAAATAAATAAGAATACATACTTCAGTCTTTTCCGATGTAGTCCAAATCTAACAGCAGCCTTCAAGACCCAGTTGAGCATGTGCAAGACCCAGATGTATGAGACTGGCTTTTAATATCCTAAGCACTGCATGAAGCACACAGTAAGATACAGTGGAAGGCAGCTACTGAAATGAAGAGAGGTGAATTTTTTAAACCTATTTGAAGCTTACCAAACCTCTGGGTTCACCATTCAGCAACTCCAACGCCTAAACTCTAAGTCAGTGAGATGACACCAGGCTTGCATGGGCCAGGTAAATTTGGTCTCTGTCTACACGTTGAAACAACGGTGTAATTGCATACAAATAAAATAATGCTTCTAAATGGTTCCCACTCATTACCCTCTTTAGATCTGAATTGAACAGCAATGAGTTGAATCTTGGGTTTGCAAAGATGTAACTGAAGGCCAAGAATAAATCTATGCCTTAGACTGCACCCCACTACAATATTAAGCTCCATTCCAAAAAGCCAGAAACTGATGCATCTGGCTAGGGAAGCCTATGAAATAACATGGCTCTGTTCCTTTCAGAGACAGTAATCCTGTGACAGCTCATGTATTTTAACAGGAAGTATTTCATGTTTACCACTGCATCATCATCATACAGCTCTATGACAACCACTGGAGGGAATTCAGCAATTTCCTTTCCATCACCATGAAGTACAATGTTATTGAACAGCAGCATCTGATTCCAGGTAGGAGATAATGTCTGAGAAATAATCTAATGAAAAACAGAAAATAATTCAAAAAGCTGGATAACAGCGTTATGGTACAGTGTACAATATGATAGACCCCCAGAGATGCCTCAAAAGTTACCTCTTGTCCTAATATTGTATGAGCGCTTCCTATTTCTAGAGCATCTTCTACATAAGGATCTCAAAACCTGATAATTTGAGACTGATCAATCATTTAGCCAGTTTCAAAGGAGGACTGGGCAAATTCCTGGAGGATAAGTTCATCAGTGGGTATTCAGCATGATAGTTAGGAGTGCAACCCATGGATTAGATTTCTTGGGTCTCTGAATACTGGAAGCTGGAGAGGGAGAGGTGCAGAGGATAGAGCCATCTGGACAGGTCTTGCATAAGTACTTTCTTCCTTAGTATCCACTCTCGTCCACTGGAAAGGACAGGATGCTGGGCTGGATGGGCTTGTGGTGTTACCCAGCATTGAATTTCTTATGATCCTGAAGCCATTTATAATGTGTAATGAAATAAGCCTTATAACATCCCTGTAAAGGAGTTAGTAGTTTTTAATTAAATATTATCTACATTTTACAGAGGGAAATGGAACCATATGATACTGGCTGTCAGCGATGAGGGATTCAATTAAATAGATCTCTGTTCCTATTTGGTATGGCAAGTCCAATATGGCTTTGAAAAATTAATCTATCATCTCATTTTCACGGCTGAAATTAGACATCTCCATTCCTTGATTATGCACGAATGGGGCAGCCTTCAGAACTTACCTTTGTGGTCTGGCAGTGTGAAACAAATGTGACTTTGGCAAAGGGATCAGAAAGTCCAGTGCTGTCTGCAGCGATGAGCCCCCTGGCCTGATACATGTGAGCTCTCAGCTGGAAGAAGTGCTGTGCTGTGTCATTACAAGAAAAAATATAGTCGTCAACTTTGTGAGAATCACACCATGTGTGCATAGAAAGAGGATGAAAACAGAGGTCCAGCCTCTACCATCCACTTTGGGTAGCCCAAAGCCTTTTGCAACATCTGAGCCTAACAACACGCTAATGGGATGGGGACATGTTACTGTCATCATCCTACAAGTGGAAATTTGAGTCTTATTCTCTGACATTTTCACTTTCAGTGTCAAAATGAAGATTATCTCGAGTCTGTTAATTTTCAGTCTATGGTCATTTGACCAGACTGTCTCTTGTACACATTTATTTATTACATAGCATGGTACATATGCTTTACCAAGAAAGCTGATAAGCCTCTCCCTCTGGGACATTTAACACTAGACAGTATAAATACTATAATCTGTGCTGTGCAAACCAAATGTAGAATGAGTGGAAGATAGAGGGAGCGACATAATATAACAGGCCCCTTCCTGCTCCAACACCTATGACTCCATGAAGCAAGCGAAGCTTCCATGAGGCTCATCTTTGCAAGTGGTGAGTGCTCAGCAACGCTGAACTCAGCAGCCAGAATCAGCCTCCAAGAATCAAAACATCTACCATATCTTAAATAGAAAATGCAATGATTTCAAGCAGACATCTTGAAGGTTCACAGCCCTGCTAAATCAGAACATCTTGTATCTAATACTCCTTAAGCTTCTTGGCTTCTATACTGCAGAAGTACTCTCTTACTTTTGTAGCGCAGATAGGCAGGGTCAGCGGCACCATGGTGCCCTGTGCTAGCTGTGGAGGGCACTTCAGTCTCATATCCAGCAGGCAAGTTCTCCATAATGGCGTGGGCATACTTGACAGAACCAAGCCAGAGGTAGGTGTCAACTTTTGCATGTACGTTCCAACCTGGTGGGCGTTTTCCTGGTAACTGAAGAAATTCACACAGCAGTGACAAGTGCCAGAAAGAGAAATTGTTCAATGTTACGAACAGCTTAGACAAGGCATGTTAGACAAGGAATATGTCCTTGGTGAATATACTGACAAACGCAATGCCTACTTCACAGGAAGAATGGCTGTGGGACATACTTGACTCTAAGCAAGAAAATAACTGACTTAGCTGGAAAAGTCTGCTTTGAGTGGCAACCCCAGTGTAGCATGAAACCTGGTTTATTCTACAAAACACATGCAAATTTGTCTCTTCTGGTTGCTCTCTTAGATTTCCCATTCTTTAGTCCATTTTTCAATGGATGTTACTTTCCTGTGCTGCTGCTCCTGGTCTTAATATTACTGTATTACTGCATAGGCAGGGCAGGAAAAATTCATATAAAATGGTACAGTTTTTTACAAAAACTTCCACAATATTGACCTCCTTTCTTCTCTCCCATTCCTTCTCTGCTTATTCTGCATTTTACACTGTTTATTATTAGGAAATTCTTGTCATAAAAGCAACTAGACTATAATTACATTGCACTATTTTTCCAAGTCTCTAACAACTGAAGACTATTTATCTGGTTTGGTTTGTTTTGTTTTTTGCGCCCCCCCCCACACACACACAGTGTACCTTTGGTATTTTAAAGAGAACAGAAACATCCCACCATTGGGATTTTCTGTCAAGTTTCCCAATTACAATTTGTTTTCAGATAAAAACAGAACTGACCATACTGTGCCTATGAGGTTTAACCTAATTGACCAAAACAATTCTTATGCCAGATCCTCTCATTGAGCTTCATTTTGTGTTCAAAATGACCGCTTCTAAAATGGGCTTTATCTAATTAAAATAAAATCAAGCATTTGAATAGAAAGAGAAGTCATCTCCCATATGTAAGGTTTGAAAAAATTCAACAAGTTGCTTTAAAAAGAATGGTAAAAATAAATGCACTGAAAGGTTTTAATGGATAGTTAGAGGTGTGCATAGCAAACTACTTTGACAACTAGAAGAAGGCTAGATACCCTATCTGCTCTCTAGATAAGCTTGTGTGAATAGTTTCAACTATTACAGAATAAGCTACTAACTGTCTGTTGTTTCAGTAAGTTCAGGCTTTTCAATCAAGCTATTGACAAGGGGCAGTGATTCAACTCTGTGATATTTCATTGTGTACTGTTACTGTACATACTGCTTCTGTATATAACATCCACTAAGCCCATCTTGTCTGACACATACAGGCTGTAGTACTTTATACATATTTCTGTATATGTGTGCATATACATGTACATACATACATACACACACACACACACACGTATCACATATGCACACGTACTTTAAATTGTAGCTATAAACAATTTTACATTCTATCTGAAACTGTGCTTCCTTGTTGTCTGAGCATAACTGTTAGCAATGCGTTGGCAATTCTGCACGGAGTTTTCAAAGGCTGCATTGCAATGTGTTTGTTAGAGAATAAACATTTAGTGAGGCTGTACACATTGTATCTGTATACGCATGTATATGGACTTAAGACAGACACTGCAGCAACAAAAGGAATAAATCACTTAGCAGGATGGTGGACATGTATAAGAAGAGAAGATAAACAGGTAAAGATAAAATATATAGTATTTCAACTAAACATATAGTTGAAATATGAATACGCATAACATTGAAACAGAATATGTATATATATGCATATATATACGTGTGTGTGTGTGTGTATATATATGTGCGTGTGTGTGTGTATATGTGTGTATCAGTGTCTTCCAGCTTCTTCAAGTTAACTCCTTATTTAAAGTCAACATCCTTACATTGATTTAAAATAAGTATAAAAATGTATTGGTAATAACAATGGTAAACTTAGAAAATCTCTTTGTGTGCAGATTCCAAATGTTTGACAGAAAATGCTTGACTTTGAAGGGGCAGAGCATACACATAGTAGAGAAGCAATATTTTGGGGCTTTACTTCATAATCAGATTTTCAGTGCTTTATTATGGGCACTGACAGACGTGTAGGCTCCTGCTCTAACTCACGGCACTTTACATGAAGTGCCATGACTTAGAGAGCCCCCCACAAAACTAAAGACAGGGGAAGTGGGGATTGAGCCTGCCTACAGGAGCCCAAGGAGCCTGCCTGCAGCTGAGGAGTCCCCTTTCTCCCCCAGCCCTGCTCCCCACCCCTGCTCTGGGGCTGTCACTAGGAAGGGAGGTGGAAGGGATGAGGGGTAGTGAGCTGGGGAAGGTCAGGGAGGCTGCAAGGTGAGGGGGCTCCAATCCACCCCCGCCCCCCTCCAGCTCAGGCTGGGCAAACCCCAGCCTGCAGCTTGCTCCCCCTCTCTTCCTGCTGACAGCCCCAGGGATAGGGCTGCACTGCATCAGCCCAGCCCCAATCCTGCCACGAATTAACATTAGGGAACAAAAGTTTGCTAAGGTGCTGTGAAGTGCAATGCTTTCATCTGCTCCCTCATCTGATCTGGATAATTTGTCATATGATCAGCCACATTAAAAGCATTCTGCATCCATGCATGTGTCACAGCACGGCTTTAGAGCACTTTCAGAGGCTGATCATGCAAGAAACATAACTTCTGCCTGCGCCTTCAGTCTCCTGACTGCCTTGTGAGACTCTCTGGAGGTCTCAGTTCACTGGCTGAAAAACACTGCTTTTGCTAATGCAGACAAACCCAAAACCGTGTTGAAGCTCAGATGGCTAGAACCTAAAATGAAATTCCTGGAATGAGACCTGGATAAGGACAATTTCCAAAGAGTTACCTGCTAAAAAAACATTTTAGTAAATGATCCTGATGTTCCAGACTTACTTTCAGGAAATGGGTTTTAATCTTCCCACAGGTTTTGCCTCTCTGCTCAGCCACAGGAGAATAGAGTACATCTTTCGCTGAGATCCTAGCATAGGCAACTCTCTTGTTGTTGCTGAGCATCCAGATGAACACATCGGGCACAGTATGCTGAGGCTATTAAAATGACAAGGACCAGAATTTCAGTGCTTTGAACATTAAGCTAATGAGTGATGCTCTTTTTACAAGCAACCATCATTAATTTGTGTTAAACACCAACTCATAACAGCTGATTTTCTTCAACTATTTGACAAGGCAAAAATCAGCATCTCCTGAGAACAATTAGACATGGATCATAGATTAAAGAAACAATTAGTTTGTGCCTCAAAATTCAAATCTGTCTCTGAACAAAGCCAGAAGTAAAGAGCTTTGCACAGGGCCTTAAGGAGCTCATGCTGTTCAGATTATCAAAGAAAAGATTAGTAGATGACTTGATTATGACTTATAAGGACCCACAGAGGGGGAAAAGGCTATAATAGCAGATGTTTAATTTTTCACATAAAAATAATATAAAGATACAGTAGTGAGAAGCTGAAGCCAGAAAAATTCAAACTAGGAATAGAGTGAACTTTTTAAACACAATTTTTAACCACTAGAGAATCTTGACAAAGGATGTGGGATTGAGGTCTTTAAACCAATATGGAATTTATTGCTAAAAGAGATGGCCTTGCACCACCAGAAGTTAGTGGACATGGTGTAGAAATGACTAGGTGAAAATCTAGGGCCTGTATTATATACAGATGACACTAGCCAGTCACATTATCTTCTGACCATTAAATCTGTGGGCTTAGTCCTTATTCCCCATTAGACCATAGGATAAATAAGAAAGAGTAGACACTGATCTATTTTTCATAAGGCCAAGACTGAACAAGCACTAGCAGCAGCTTGGAAGAGGAATAACAGCATTGGCTACTGTTGTAACTGAATTCCTTCATTACCATCTTCAGTGTGAGGGTGCAAGATTCAGAGACAAAGATCATCCATATAATTAAAGATCCACTGGGTGACCCACCTCTTCCACCCCTCATCCGTAGTGAAAATTAAGGCTTCATAGAGCACAGCTATATGGCAGACAGAGGGCTGCAAACTGCAAAACTGACGCCCTAGATCCTGCTCTTCCATCATGGACCTTTCATTAAGGCCCCTTCTTTGCTCTAGATCAGGGGTTGGCAAAATACAGCCTGGAGGCCACCAGGCACTTTCATCTGGCCCACAGTGGCCCCCAATGAATTGAACCCCACCCAGCCCTTTCACACAAGCGTAGGAGTGAGGTGCCTACATTCGCTCCCAACATATACTATTATGCTTTGCTCCCACCCTCGTAAGCACAAAGGCCCGACCTAGGCAGCACTGGGTGGGGTTGCTACTGCAGACTTCCCCGGCATCCCGTTCCCTCCAGGCAGCAGGCAGGGAAGTGGTGGGGTTGGGGGGAGCTGCATGTGGGTGGCAGCGGTGCAGAGCTCGGGTGGGCAGGGTGTGGGTGTGAAGGTGGGTGGGGAGTATGGGGACCCCTCCAACCTTCCCCCCGTGGTGCGCAGAGAGAGGAGGCAGCAACAGCAGCAGGGGGGATGCTGGTGCCTGGCTCCAGCTAACACTGCACATAACAGCAAGGAGCTTCCAGTAGCAAAGGTCAGGTGTTAGGGGTGGGACTTCCGGTCCCAAGATGGCAGCCAGGGGGGCAGGGCAACCTTCAAGGGGGGGGCTACCCATGCAGCCCTTAACAGCTCACTAAACCTTGTTAAGCAGCTCTCCACCCAAAATAATTGCCTGCCCCTGCTTCATCATTACTTTTGTCTGAATCTCACCATGGAACTTAGCATGCAAGTGCACATCTGGCGCATCCAGCTTCACCTGATCACTCTGCTCTGGCCACAGGGACATTTCCAATATTGCAAGCAGTGAGTGGGGTGATGGAGAGCAGTGGGCATCCTCAGGTAGCTGGCACTGAGCTCGGGATTTTACTGAGACATTGGGACCTGTATAAAGTTCTCTGTTGGTAGTGAATTACCTCATCAACCAGGAATCGAATTTTCTCTATAAAGGTCTGGGTCTCACGCATCATTTCATCCACGGATATTTTCTTTTTCTGCTGTTGAATAATTCCTTGAGCATCATTTGACAATGCTTCCTGAAACAGGAATAGATGGCATGTAAATATTTCATAGATGCTATTGTATTCATGAAAAGCACGTCAAACTATACAACTAGACATGCAAAGGAAAATGTGTACTTAGATTCACACTGAAAAATGTGGAAGTGCTTTACCCTGAAGTGGGAAAAGCTAATGAAATGTTTTTCTTGTCAAAACAGAAGAAATTTAC